GCTACACGGTTTTAGGCTTTTGTGAGGGAAGGGCCAAGAAGGGGCTGGATAGCATTTTAAATGGGAAAAAGTCCTCAAAATAGCCAATGGGGCCGTTGGACCTGAGGTCTGAAAATACACTCTAGGGGCTGCCGGTTTGTTTCGATAACTTGCGGCAGCTATACCGGCCAGCCATATGGCTACGCTAACCGCCATATTATCGCTAACTAGGTGCTGGCATTCGGAGTACTTAACATTTTTAAATAGTCAATTCTTTTAGTGACCCAATCCCCATAAGAACTCCAGAGAAAGCGTTAGCCCTTCGAAACTCTTCCACTGAAAATAATGCAGAAATTGGACAGAGTTCACGGAAGTGGCTGGTCCCACAAGATTTCGTTTGAACTTTTGTATAACCATCTTCGCAGATGCCCAGGAGAAATTCGCAAAAATCCATTCAGTTTCTGGGTTGTCATCATAGCTAAAGCCCTTACGTAGGAGAGATGTATAACTTGCTAAGCTAGCGCTTCCTTCCCATCCTACAGCTGATCCGAGTGACCAGCCGGACCCGGGCTGAGACAATACAACTTCGTTACCCGTGCCTAAACTAAGATCAGTCGATGATAAAAAAGGTTAGGGCTAGGTTTAGGTTTATGTATAACGAAGTAAGTAGGTAGTTATGTATAGCAAACTACATAATCGCGATAAGCCTTCTATAGTTGTGCCTTTAACTTTACGTAAGCCTACCGGAACTGCCATTCGTTAGCGTTTCGTACTCATGATTAATCTTTTGCCTATTTCTCCACCCACAAAATCGCTATTATCGCCGGTCCCATTGGACACAAGGCTGGGGCTAAGCGTAGATTAGGTGCGCTATAAATTATACCTCCGCCAAAAACTGCCAGCAACTGTCACTCTTGTTTTTCCGTCCTTTTTAGCAATTCTCCCCAACGAATGGAAAGCTTGATCAAAGCGGGTTGATCTCAATACATTTGGTAGATCAAGTCGATCAGGGTTTAACTCTCTGGAAATCTAAGCTTCTAGACCGTGCAAATAATGCGCTTGAATTTGAACTTGTGTCACGTGCACGGTAAGTCCTTCCGGCAGAACTCCAGTAACCACCAGCGTTCTGAATTTTTAAAGTTAAATTTTACATTTGAATTTCAAAACTATATTTATTGCTCAATAGTATGCTATGTAGCTTAAGAAAGGCTCCTGGGCGCGTAAGATTCCATCCAGTTGATCATTCTCATTACTTACCGTAAAACTTCGTAGAAGGTGGAATAACAGCCCAAAAGGTTTTGCCTTTCTCATCCTCCTCGTTCAGATTCGGCGGAAAGATATGTCTAAAAGTTATTTGACATCGAACTTTGTTAGCATTTAGAGGAACACCTTACAATAAACGACTTTAACAATAAAAGGCATCCAAGAAAAGGGACCAACACGCGTTTTTAGCAATAAAGTAAGTGGACTATTCTCAGCCATTTAACCCTATCCACAGAACTTGTTTATTCTCGTGCATTAGATGGCAGACTAGCAAAGCGCCCGTTCGCCGTCCACACTTATTATTTTTGTGACCTTGAGCGGACCAATCAGTTGAGAAAGTCATCTGGTAGCCGCCAGATTAGACAACTGCTATCAAAATGGCAGGTACAACCTCTTAAAGATGGAATGTGGGATGGATTTAACACACTTGGAAAGTTTACCAAAAGAAGGAAGCTAAGCGAAATGTTTTTTTCCGTCTGATCAGTTCAATAAATAGGTCAGAGTAACTCACCGGGCAACCAACAGGTATTGAGGTCTTGCGTCCATGTTTTGCGGTTGAAGTTGAAAATGAAAACTCACGTCCTCCTCCTCGATACGATATCGCAGCATAACTAGCGGCTGGTATACACGTGATCCATCCACAGCGATCAAGGCTTCCGGTAGTCGAGGATTAGGTTCGTTCGGCAGGCCCGATCCGAATGGCGGTGGTGTAAATTCGCTGGTCTGGGAGGATTGAATAGAACAGGCAAGATCAGATAAAGCTGGATTGCAAATATGACTTGGTTCTGATTATTCACGTAAATTGGGAACGCTATGTCTTGCGTAAATGTGGTACTTTGTGCAGTAGATTAAGCTGGACTCACGAGACATGCAGATATCAGATCGGTGGTTACAGAACCCTCTGATGCTTAGTTGAAGAAAGCCTGTTTAACCAAGAAAGGTGCTTGAGCAGATTTCCGTTGCAGAATGTATCCATTGTAATTTTTAGAACCGTGCAATTTCTTGATAGGTAATATTTTTTCCTCTGGCCAAACAAGCCAAACTGCCTATTCTAACAACGTTCCATGCCGTTATGAAACATACCATTTGCACCTCCCACGATGTTTTTACATAACCTAATAACGATCGCACAAGGAAGCAAGGAGCGGCATGCAGGGTCACGAGACTAGAGGATGGCTTTGAATTCAGGGTACCAGTTTATTATAAGATTCCTTACGCAAATCAGCCCCCTAGAAATCCGTAAAACGTGATCGGTGGTAATAGTAATTTTTTAAATTACTTATTTAATTAGTTTTAATTAATTAATTGTTTAAGTTCAGCGGTGATACCCATGTAAGCATTCAGAGGTCAAGTTAGGCTAACGAACGTTTTCGATTAATTCATAATCAGGCAATAAAATAATATAAGGGAGGGCAGAGTTAACAAGAGTTTAAGCAGCCAATCAGGAGTAATTAGGGGGGAGGGGGGCAAGTTAGGGCGGGAGAGGTGTAATGGGATCAAAGGGGTCAGATTCTAGTCCTAAGTGGGGACCAGATAGGGTGGGTGAGTAAGGGGGAAGAAGGGGCCCGACAATTAGTTCGTGTCGCCCTATCGTCCTTGGCTAACATTTTGTTGGGAGGTGTGAGGACGCAAGGTGACGACGTGAGCGGCCTGGGAATGCTTGCTATCAGGGCCCTCTCACTGTTTCGCGGCGTGGTAAGACGCGCGAGGGCGGATGTTGAGTAAGCCTTCGGCCACGGGAGCCTTAGGGCCGCTACAAACGCCTTCTGCTTAGTGAGGCGTATGGCGACTTTGAATGTTTCGCCGGCACTTTATAGATGACTTTAAACGGTTGGTTGACGTCTACTCGGTGACCACTGTCAACCAAATGAGCCACAATCGCGCTTGATATCGAATTTACTTCGTCCCTGTTTAACCAAGCGGGATGGTGTTCTCGCATGCGCTTGGATAGCCGCCTAGTCGTTCGACCAATATAACCTGCCCCACAGGAGCATGTAAAATTGTAGATGCACATTGAGGAGGTCTGAAACGGCAGTCTATCCTTGCCTTCAAGGCACGGAAGTGGAGTGCTTAAGAATAATAATCAAAGCTTAGCTACTGGATAAGTACGCACGATTGCAGCGTTCAAGCGAAGCTGTAGAAGTTCGCTAGCTGGATCCCCTCCCTTATATTATTGTATTGCTTGATGATTAATTGATCGAAAACTTTCGTTTGCCTAACTTAACCGCTGAATTTATTGTTTATTTTTATTAATTTTTCAATCATCGCACGTTTTTCCGTTGCGATATATTAGCTTTTTAAAGTAATTTTATCTACGATTTTCTGTTTTTGTTTGATGTATTTCTTCTATTTTCTCACTTGGGCACCCGTATTGCCCCACCCGTAATACTACTCTTACCACTGGTCTCGTATAACAGAATTCTGGGCTTTGGATTTCATGGTGGGCTCTATAACAGACTGTTACCGAATTCACTTAAATGGTTCCCTTCCCTTCCAGATTCCGAGTTGCAGTCTGCATAAGCACAAGCACGTTTCTACGCAGCCCATGCTGTGGGGCATGGCATGTGACAAAAACAGGCAGCTCATAATACGATGTTTTACCAGCCTGGAGACTGTGCGGTTCGATGACACCAATAGATTATGATGACAGTTGCTCTGGTTGCCCTGGTTTCCTGCCCTACTGGAAATCATAATTGCGTAAGAAAGACATAGGAGGCAGGATAAAAAAGACACAGCATAACTGACCTTAGCAAGCTGGAGCACAATGGGAGTATGAAGATTTTCCATAGCATATTCCTGTCCATTTTCGAAGAGTGTCAATGATATGGTTTCGGAGCTGCCAGGGACTTTGACGTGCGAACTGTTTGCGAAGCCGTAAATATTCCGATTCGTTGATATGATCTACATTTGGTTAAAAGAGAGTGTCACGATCTTCTTCAGGTTGACTGATGGTGCGCGGGAATACGTACCTCTAGAGATACAGTATTTATCTATTTGATTTGAGGAGAAAAATGGGGTCACCAATTGGGAGGGGTTGTGGGAGCACTTTCGTGCAAGCAAATCGGTAACTAATAGAAAATCGACTGAAGGTAAGGGAACCGGCGGAAACGGTGCGATAAGACATAAACAGAAACTGCGGGTGGCAGAATTTGCGGCATGAAACGGATAATCGAAAAGGGGACAGGAAATAAATAAAGAAAAGACGAATCTGCGCGTCGTCGGAGACTGTTTGGGAGAAGAGACCGCGGACGCTTTATCGAAGTAAAATGTTTGAAAGTTGCCAAATTAGAAGGCAGGAAAATCGTTAGTTGAACAAGGTTTTACTGAGGACTCATGCGACTCAGTAAGCTGTAGCAACTAACATTCTAACCGGGCGACTCCCGCTGCCAAGCATGCCAATCGATTTAATTGTTCATCCAGGCGCGAAGTGCGGTCGGCTGCAACCAAGCGATAAAGCTGGAATCGAGAAGAAGATGCTATCGCGGGAACAAGCCCTTTATTCACCTGACGTTTCGAAGTCTGTCGCCGATTCTTTATCAGAGACAGTAGCATAAACAGTACCAGAAACCAGAGAAGACCGGATGCTGTGAGTTCATGGACAAAGACAGCACAAAACTACTTCAACAGAGAGTGACTGAATGAGTCCGCGAAAAGCAAGCGATTCACGAAGCAGCACTGAAGAACACGCTTCACAAACTGCATAATGCAAGGTCCTCCACCCGTATCTGCTACTGTTTATGCTAGTGACCCTGACCAAGAATCCGCGACGGACTGTGAAACGTCAGGCAAATAAAAGTCTTGTTCCAGCGATCGTATCTTCTTCTTCTTCTTCTTCTTCTTCTTCTTCTTCTTTTTCTTCTTCTTC